TCATTAATTCTATTATTCTTTAAGTTAATGACAGAAAAGAAATACGAAGAGAAAAAACAGCGTGCATAGCCTGTGTACAGACGCCCCCCCTCCCCTCAGATTTTTTTTCTGAGGGGAGGGGAGGGGCGTCTGTACACAGGCTACAGCGTCTGGATTGCTTTAGTTTTGTCGGACCGTAATAACTTTGCATACCGACAAAAACAATATCAAGCGACACCTTTAATACAAATGCAGTCACTTCATTCGCAATGCTATAAATAGCTAAAAGACCCTAAAATGTCTCGCTACACAGGCTTAAAAATTCATCCTTTATCTGCTGGAAAGAAATACATAAATTCAGGACTTACGGGTTTTGCTAAATTTGAGACCGGAAGTTCGCGAACCCCGCGCCGATTTCTGTTTCAATTCGTGAATTGTAAGTAAACAACAGTTTAATTCAGTTCACTTCTACTTCATTTTTTTAGATCAAAGTTCCCAATATAGCCAGGTGTATACTGGTAGTAAACAACAGCATAGAAAACTTTAGTTCATTTCAATATCATCGAATGTGACCGGTCATCTTGACCGTCAAGGCCAACAAAATGAGGACAATTCAACGCTTCACGTTTGGGAATGTAAAATTATTAAACACTTTTTCATTCGTGAAAAAACGAACAGTCGGTCAATTTTGTGTAAAAACGATCTGGATCTTCCATTAACCACTTTTAAGTTAACAAAAATGAAAGCAACGGTAACTCAAACTTAACTCAGACTCAACTCAAACTCAACTCAAACTCAACTCAACTCGTAACTCGGTCATTAGTATCTCTCATCTGTGATCCTATTTTTTTGCTTCATGTTGTTGAGCAATTATGGCCATACGCGTCGTGCACAACAATTTAAGCTTACTTATGTAGTAACCTGTGGGCTCTTATGTGATCTCCAGCTTCGGGAAATCAAAATTGAAATTGTTTTAATTTAGGCAATAGAGACACTGTTCTGTATATAACTCAACTTCAAACTAAGTCTGTTGTTAGTTTTGGGTACTAATCGTTTGGGTACGAAGCATCCATGGGTACGAAACGTCCGGATCCCCGTGGTGGACAATTTTCTTCATGGACTGTAAAAACAAGACTACTAAAAAGTGCTCAGACTATAGAAACGAAACATCTTCCATCTTTTTCTTACATCAGTGCTTCAACATTTATCTTACTTATACTTTTTCTGATAACTCCTGCTTAACTGTTTGACTTACAGGTATCTGGACGCCGCTAAACTTAAAATTAGCATTTTCCAGTCTCTTAGTAGTCGGGAGGAGCGAAAAGAAAAGCAAGCACGAGGAAAGAAGGCTAACATTATTAAGAAATCACTATGAGGTTACATGAACTGGCAAAATGCCTATCAATCACTTATGTGGTATAGGTGAAACAATTCTCTGAATGTGTGTACAGTCATTTAATATACATCTTGGCACCGCTATAAGCAACGACACAGATATTTAGAATGCTTTACTCTTGGATATGCGTGGCTTTGTGGCCTTTACTTTTACTGAAAAGTGTCTGTAAACACTAAAGGCGTTTTCTAGTGACTATAAAAATAGGAAAATGTAGGTTACCTGCTAGAGTCCTGTCTCAAATCGACTTTTTGCCATAAGCAACTGTTTTGAACATAAATTGTATCTGACTGCTTTTTTTAGTAGCGAGATTAAGCGAGCATTCGTACGACAAATCAGTTTTAAAGTGTCTTTGGCCGCGAGAAACCTTTTCGTCCACGTCACAGTCACAATGTAAATAAAGGATTAGCAGCAAGTGCTTACCAACTTACAATTGAGCGCGCGCATTTATATTAATAGAAAACACTGTATCTCATACAGTGAAAAAATTCTTGTGAAGGAGATTTTTTAGAAAGTGGAACGGTCTAATATTAGTTCCTGCGAGAACAAGTTAAAAGCCTTACAAAAATTGTTGCAGAGCTGACCGACATGAGGCTAGAGAAAAGATACCCAGCCTACCGGTGTTGAGCGACTCGGATCTGACGTTCATCAATCAGGACGATGACAACTTTGTTGAAGAAACACCTCCTCAAGCTCCTCTTGCTGCCATCACCTCACCTGTTATTGTGCCAGAACCCCAAGTTCCTCAGCCAGTTTCCGCTCCGTTATCACTCCACAACTATCCTCGACCTCAGATGCAGTCTCCTCTGTCCACCACCGATAGAAATTCACAAGTTTTCTTCACCAGCCCAAGCCTTGGACCTTCAGACCAGCAGAAGCAGAAGGTGGAGGCGATCGTCATCTTGGGCAAAGAAATGATATCCTCTGCCATG